TATAAATAGCTAAAAAATTGCTATTTTGATTTTTGTTTTGGTCAGACATAAATTGGCGGTATAGGGGCTTTTTTCGTACTACCGATAAAATTCCGGATATTTATGTCGCAGACTGTATATAGGGACATCGTAAATATTTCAAGGACGTTGATGTGTTTTGGCAGAAAATCGAGAGACACCTTGCCGAGGTGAGTTTTTGTTTAACAAATTATTCTATTCTGCCTAAACAAGCTCAAGCTCATTATTTTTTTACAACTACAGGAGGAGGCTTCTCGTTCCATAATGCATAACATCACAAAAGCTTTTAAAACTTCCATCGCAAATGTCAATACCTCCGTTAATAATGTTGATAACACGATGGTATGAATTGAAATTACCGTTTTTTACTGGTTTGCATGTTTATTATACTTATAGTAAGTTGAAATTTTTTTACCAGCTCCAATATAATAAAGAGCTTGAAGGTGAGAAGAGTGATGGTTTAGGGAAAAGACGAAATTTGGAAGATCGTGAGGAGGGGCTTTCAATAAAGAAACAACACAAAGAGGGATGTATTATGTCATCAGCAAGCTCGCCTCCACCATGCTCGGTGTTAATAGATTCACCAGAAGTATCACATGCGCGATTGGAGAAAAATAGTATCTTCTTTGAAGATAATGATTATGACGATGAAGTCGTAATAATTGATGATGTTGATGATCTATGCTTTAAGGACGGGGACCCATCAGACGATTATAGAATAAGAGAGGCTAATGTGTCTCAATTATTTCGGAACTTCCAGAATAAGTCAATATGGATTGCAAAAAATGGAGGTTTATTTGTAGAGTCAAATGTTCACGAAATACTGTCGTTGTCATCAATTTTTTTGCTTACACCAAATTCTCATTCAAAAATAATCATTGATATATTTGGTTCCCGCTTGCTTGATGAAATACATCAAAACGTAATGCCAGTTCAGAACACAACACTAAATTCAAAGTATGAATTAAAATTTAGAGAGGCAATCAAGAAAGTAAAAAAGTCGCGTGAATGTGCCATAGATTGGTTCTATACAGAACTTGCAAGTGATCGAAATTTGAGGAAAAGCTCGGGTTCTTTAATTTTGAAATGCCTGGAGACGTTACCTAGCGAGAAAATTAGAAATGAACCCAGCGAAATAACATACATTACAAATTATATAGACAACATTATGAAGAGTTTATTTCATAATCCAGACAAACACATCGTCCAGTGGCCTAACAAGGCTCTGAATGAAAGCAAATCAAGGAAGTACGAAGGCCGGACCAAGCAACCGGATTTCGTGGTTTCAATTATATATCAGCTTCAAACAGATTCAGTTATATTTGTTGGTGAAGTTAGTCCACCATCACAAAGAAATAATGTGTACAAGAACTGCAAAGATCTCATTCAGCTTGGAGTTTTCATGAAAGACTGTGTAGATTCGGCAATTGATAAAGGCGCCGATATTAACGTGTTTGGTTTTCATTGTGTTGGTAAGCAAATCAGTATAATATGCTTTTTCCCACAATTCCTTTTAATCACTTTTTGCCATTTCATTATTTAGATCATATAATCGACTTTTATATAATAGAACTTATCCAAGGAACATATTTCATAGTTCATATTGGACAAGTTTCAGTTCCGGCATCGATGAAAGAGATGCCATCTTTTGTTGATGAATTAGAATTGTTGCTAGGAATACAAGAGATTTTTCAAAAGTCCTTTGATACCTTGTACGATAAGCTCTGTAGTCCGAGTTCACCATCAAATAATGCAATATTCAAACGTGATACTCTTGGTATGCCCAAGTTTAATCAGCTTGTAAGCGGAATACGCAATTGTCACAGAATCTGTCCATTTAGGTTCGGACGTTTTTAGTATATGTACAAATAGAGATACTGCTTAATTTTTTATAGGCAATTTAATAATATGTCTAGCTATAGTATGTAATCAATGAAATAACAATAAAGTGATAATTTTTAACTGCATTTGAGTGCACATCAGAACAATTATTCTTCAATCACTAACTTCGAATGATTTACTGCACCATAAATAAAACCCACATCATAATTCCAAAACTTTATTGAATCCGAATCAAACTCTCCTTGTGATAATAAGGTTCTCTACATCGGGCTTATGTGTATGCATTTTTCGTATGGGTGGGTTTGCATGTATCGGAAAAATAAAAATGACTTCCTATGCACGGACGTCAATGTGTCGGATCAGATTGGCAAAAGTGATCGGCATTACAAATTGTAACGCGCACGTGATTTTTTATATAACCAAAAAATAATGTGACTTTTGGTCAGAGAAACATTTACTGCGCTACAAGACATATGAAGTTGTGATATGATATCACAACCTATGTAGCTAATCTTAGTCGTTATGAAGATTTTTGTATCTGTATTCTGTATACATAAACATCAATAAAATTTCGCCTATAGTTTGGGCATATATTTTTTTCACATTTGTACGGGAGTGTAAAGCATCGGAATAAATAATAAATTTTTTATTGTTACCGATTACTGCGCCATTAACGAAAAAATATATTTATCTGCTGTGCCTACGTATCTGAACCGTATTGTAACACAAACCTCAGTTCAATCCAGTGCCTTTTTATTTATATGCATGTAAATCACAGGATATATCATCTTCATATATCCCTCAAAAAAATGAATCAGTTATATTTTATGCATAATCTTGTTAAAATCACTATAAATCACTGAAATTGCTATAAGTCATTAAAATTGCTATAAATCACTAAATTGCTAATAAATATGCCCGGTGACATGTTTAAAATCATTATAGACAGGATTTATAATAAAACTGTACCTAAACCTATCAATCTCCACCCTGGATATGATATGGAATATGTTATTAACTGTCGTCCTCAAACTGATAACTATCAGTATGAAAAAGTGGTTAAAATAGAAAAGCAATATGATTATTTGTCTATTACAGTAATTTTTTTTTATTTAAAAAATACATAACCAATTAACTAAAATTAATACATTATGTAGTCACCATCTGACTCTATTAGAATTCTGAATGAGTTGAGTTAACTCACGAGTCAGATAAGCTGAGTCGAGTTCAAATCAAATTGAGTTTATGTTTTTTTGACTCGATGATTTGCAAGTCAAACCAAATTCAAATCGAGTTAAATATTTAACTCAACTCGATTTAAACTCGACTTGATTTGAGTTGACTCAAGTTGACTCGAGTTAACTTGAACGATAAAAAATTGTTCTAAGAAGAACAATAAGGAATCGTTCAAGAAGAATGATAAGGAACTGTTCAACTTAAACGATACAAAAATCGTTCAAGAAGAACGATAAGGAATCGTTCGCTTCCCCCCTCCCTCCCGATCTTTTCATTTTTTTTTATTATTTTTTTTTTCAAAATTGAATCAAGTTAAAATTGAGTCGAATCAAATTGAGTCGAGTTTAAAATTTATATAACTCGAATCAAATCAAATTGAAAGATTTTATAAAATAAATTTGA